CCCCAAAACCCCAAAACCCCAAAACCCCAAAACCCCTTGGGAATCCTACAATATTGCAATGGCTCAGAGAAACTTTAAAGAGAATGATGCGGTCATGAACTCTCAGGGTTAGGCTTAAAAAATTGTGAGAGAATTTAGATTACAAAAGAGATGAAAAACAAGTTGCATATACTTATGAGTGATAAAGATCTTGACTAAGATTCCCTCTTTTCCTGTTCTTGACACTCTTGTTCAGTATTTCTCGAATCAAGCTCCTCTTTTCAGTGATAATGGCAGGTAAATGGTGGTGTTTTCTTGATTTTATAGGAGAGTTACTCTGACCAAGGGCTTGATAGGGATCCTTAATCTCAGAATTATTCAAGTATTCCATACAGCTAGCACTGCTACCTTTAGGAAAATATAGCCTATTCCTCTGTTCCTTCACACTTGGGCTTGATTTTAAAGAAGGAATTTGAAACTCTACTCCACTGGAATAGCTATTCACCTTCCTTCTAGGTCTTAAAGGAGAGTTGCTAATCTTTGTGTAATGCTGGTTATTCTTTATAATTTCTCTTTTGGATGGAGAATCTCTTGACAAGGATTTTTGACCAAATAATGGCTAAATTTTATCAGAAAAATACCCCTTTTCTAGAATATTTAGCTTTGAAGATATTTGAATCTCTTTGACCTTCCATTGATCAGTTCCTCCGGATGTACCGCTCTACTAGCATAGACTTATTTTAATTTTAAATACTGAGCGATCTCACAAAAATTTCCTTTAATTATTCTCAATATCATCCTGCTTTAAAATCATCTTTTTGATATTAAGCTTCTGCAACATACTTAATGTATTATCATTAGAAGGCTTGCCTAGAGAAGAATAAGCGACGCTAGTGGAAAGGCTCACGAAGAGCTCCTTACCAAACTTATGCTTCAATGAGTACAACTTATAATCATCGATTATGATCTTCGGACCACCAGTGATTTCCTCATTTTGGTTCAGGTTGAATCCCTTCAGAGGTCTCAAATGCGACTTATTTCCTTGATACTTCCCTCTAAAAGTTATATTTCCTAAGCATACCGAGAATGAGGCTGATTACTACTAAAGAACTCATCTGCCCTTCTCAGAGACTTATTCCTGATGCTTGAGTCCTTTTTAGAGATAATAACGTTATGGATTCCACCTGAGAACTTCAAAGCTGAGAGGGCTTGACTCGGCCTAATGTCAGAGTTCCTCTTGATCTTAGTTCTCCTTTGGATCGGCTTGTTCTTGCCTAAATTTATTCTTGTTATATATAAAGTTATCCCTCAAGCTCGGATAGGCCAACTCAGGCATGAAGTTTCTAACCCATTAATATTTGGTGGGAAAATGCATGATTCCGTTAAAAATTACCTGAGAAATTAAAGAAATTGACTCCTTCAAGATTATCTTGCTCTGTATCTTCTTCTCCATAAAAAGTATCTTCCATTGTGTAGTTAGAGATTTTCTAAATGGTTTTAAAGGAGGATTCTTCCCAATATGTGTAGATTCCAGAAACACGATCAATAATCAGCAGAGAACTGCCATAATTTTAGGAAATTAACACAAATTTAGTAGGTATTTGATTCTAAGATCATGCTTCATTACCTTTTGTTAATAGGATTATTTCAAAATTGTATGGTATAAATGGGGTTTTGGGGTTTTGGGGTTTTGGGG